GCTGCATGTTGACACATTCAAATTTAGTTAGGACATTTTCTAAAATAATTGTTTCCATATATTTTAAGTTAAATTAAATAACTTATTTTGTTTCCTTTCTTTAGCGTCAAACTGATTTTCAAGCTACTTTTAAACATTTTAAATCAGATGATACAAATGTGTGTGTAAAATGTAATTTTTTACGCTCTTATTGTCACAAAAAAAACATGTCCAGCATATTCAAACCCCCCATCCTGTTCCGTAAGACATTTACATGTCCTTAAAGCTTTGTTATTTTGTGTAGCAGGCTACATCTTACTTAAATACAAGGTCTTGCTGGCCTTGCTTAAATAACCATTCGCTGACAATCCTTTTTAGTGCGTTGACCCTAATTGATGCTCAGCCGATTGTCCCTACAAGCTATTGACTTTTCATTATGCATCTGGCCGAATGCTGTAACGGCCATGTACTTTAAGTTACTTGTCTGCTTTTGGCAAAGTGCTGCAACTGCCTTACATTTTGAGCTAATAGTCTGCTCCTTACATAATAATATGAAGACATTGATTTTTAAAACAGTTTGTCATTATGTCATGTAGTTCATTAAAGCCATTAGCCGAGCCTGTTAGACTCTCGAAACATAAAACATGTTAGATTCTCGAAACATTAAACATTTATTTTAAATCCGTAAAAGGATTACAAATAGAGAGAGGCCTTGTGTTGTGTGTGTTAGATAGAAGTTTCTGGTGTAAGCATCGATCATCTCCATAGCTACGCCCAGCTACACACTTTATTTACACACTCTAGGGCAATATGACCACAGCTCTCACATTGTATCAGGCCTGCTGTTTCATGCAACATGGCCTCGCGTTCCTGTCTCTAGATATCCAGAACAAATTTTGGACAAAGTTAACTTTCTCGTCTTCGTTTCAATCGCATTTATTTCTAAGAAGCTACTTTATTTTATTTATTTTTTTAATCTGATCACGCCTTATGCTTTTAAAACATGTCACTCTGAAATACTTTATTTATTCAGGCTGTAATATCGTCTGCTTAAACACGGAAAAGACTTTCAAAAATTACCATGCGCATGCTCAGAATTACATATGCCTTACAACGACAATGCAATGATTGCTTTAAATTCAATGAAATGTGTTCAAATGATTTGACTTTTTATTTTCAGCTTAGCGCCAAAAGTTTAGCAAATTGAACCTACGCACCAAACGTGTCCCGTGTTGTTTGGGCACACTGCCCGAGTTTATTGGGCACACTGCCCGAGTTTATTGGGCACACTGCCCGAGTTTATTGGGCACACTGCCCGAGTTTATTGGGCACACTGCCCGAGTTTATTGGGCACACTGCCCGAGTTTATTGGGAACACTGCCCGAGTTTATTGGGCACACTGCCCGAGTTTATTGGGAACACTGCCCGAGTTTATTGGGAACACTGCCCGAGTTTATTGGGCACACTGCCCGAGTTTATTGGGCACTCTGCCCGAGTTTATTGGGCACACTGCCCGAGTTTATTGGGAACACTGCCCGAGTTTATTGGGAACACTGCCCGAGTTGATTGGGAACACTGCCCGAGTTTATTGGGCACACTGCCCGAGTTTATTGGGCACACTGCCCAAGTTTATTGGGCACACTGCCCAAGTTTATTGGGAACATTGCCCGAGTTTATTGTGAACACTGCCCGAGTTTATTGGGAACACTGCCCGAGTTTATTGGGAACACTGCCCGAGTTTATTGGGCACACTGCCCGAGTTTATTGGGAACACTGCACGAGTTTATTGGGAACACTGCCCGAGTTTATTGGGAACACTGCCCGAGTTTATTGGGCACACTGCCCGAGTTTATTGGGAACACTGCCCGAGTTTATTGGGAACACTGCCCGAGTTTATTGGGAACACTGCCCGAGTTTATTGGGCACACTGCCCGAGTTTATTGGGCACACTGCCCGAGTTTATTGGGCACACTGCCCGAGTTTATTGGGAACACTGCCCGAGTTTATTGGGCACACTGCCCGAGTTTATTGGGAACACTGCCCGAGTTTATTGGGAACACTGCCCGAGTTTATTGGGCACACTGCCCGAGTTTATT